CCTATAACCATTTATAATATATTAATGACGATAATAATAGAATCAACAGTTCACTAAGCTCACTTGAATCAAACCTGCAACTCAAAGCATCGCTGATTGCCTTATATTACGCACACTTTTTCCGTCTTATTTGTATGTTTTTATAGTATTTTGTTCACAATTTTACTTGCATTTTTCTTTCAAAAGCCTGTTTGGATCTCACTTTCACTTTTCACGTGGTTCACCCCTCAACCAACAATGTTGGAATGGGGGTGGGATGGGGATGAACGTGTTGTTGTTTTAGTGCTGGACTTTWCAACTCCATCCAACATGGAGGACACCGTCTTTTGTGATACTATATTTAACGGCTTGTTTTTAAGATAAAACTAGAATATGCAGCTATTGTCATTCAATGTCAAGTTGAACTCTTCTTTATTGACACTCCTATTTTTAAAACTGTGTCTTTATTTAGTATCGGTCGATATTTACGGTCAGTTTTTATCTTATCTCAGTTTCAAAATATATCCAGTTATAGTATCATTCATGATAGATTGATTTTAATAGATATAATTCATAATAAAAAATGTCAAAAAATACTGGCGATTTTTAAAGTGCTATTATCGTCTGATAATCGCCATTTTTCCGTCGAACAGTTGAAGACACTCGTATGATTGGTGGGTTATTCCAGCGGCGGCAATACCTGAGCCATTTTCTCGAACGATTTGTAAAACCAAACGGCGATTTTCGCCCGATAATCACATGTGATCAATTCGGCGCTTTAACCAAACTTTTGAAATTACAAGAGCCAATTTCTATCAATAAAAATTGGGTTATGATAACATGACTGTTGTAGACAGCTGTCCTGATATGTTATGGTCCATTTGTATATATCTCTGTTATCAATAGATTCTATTCAAATCCTTTGAATACCTTGCAGTCAAATAGTCTTTGGTTCAACCTAACCAGTTGGGTCAACCATTTTTTTYCCCATTTTTTTCTCCCTACGATGAGCCGCCATTTTGAATKAACTATTTTCTGTAAGAAATAATTTTAACAAAGGGCCCATACATTAAAAAAAATTCTTAGATTTTACTGTTTTGGCGATTTGTATGTTCCGCAATGTAAGACATCTGATAGCCAATTACAGAAATAAATAACAAAGTAACCGCCGCTATGCTGGATGAATGAACAAGAAATCCAAGATGGCGGCCATGACGTAACGTGCATACAAAATTTCGCATAACTCTGTTTGTTGCTGTTTACAACTGGTTATTTTGGTCCAGTTTCATGCAGTGAAAAAACTTGCTCTTTTATCTTGAAGCTTACTCCCTTCAGAAACAATTACGAAACGGAAAGATGCGATTATCTCGACACCTAACCAGCTGGATTGCACTTGCCTTTCAAAACCAAACACAAAATAATAATATTATTGCTTGAAATGAAATTTTAAAAAATTGTCTTTTTAAGTCTTTACCCTCGTGCTCGAGGTTGAACTCGAGTGAGTTCAACTTTTTTTCAACGTGGGCAGTGTGTAGTCACCATGCGCGAGTTGTCAAATTTGACTTGTCTTTTTTGTCATTTGACTGTATTTGTAACCAAGTTTTCAGAAAACAAGAATGCATAACTAAGAATATTATATAGAAACTACCTAGAAACATTAAAATAGCAATGCTTTTAATTCATGATTTTCCTTGATGCAGCGTTTTTTGTCTGTAAACATTGCTTCTGTACCTGCGAGATAATTGTGTCAATCTGAATAACGCTGACAGTTATGTCGTATTAAAATAAGAGGTCTAAGTGGACTAATTTGCGCTAACTTTAATATMCTAATATGTAGTTGACGTCTACATCCTTGAATATTTTCAATCTTGACGGTATAATGTAGATAGTAGTTTAGCATTGTAGTATTATACGTAAAGTAGTGGCTTTCCCTTCACTTTGGTTTGATCCTCGCTGTACATCAGGTCAAASTGCGCGTGCGCAGTGTCATATAGTTTTTCTGGTCTTTTCTCTTTTCAGATTTTTTTTCCTTTATATAATGTGTTTGATAGCGATTGGTGGGCATTTTAAGTGAATTTATTTGGACCTGAAGCGATTATGTTTCGAAACTATAACGAAAATATATAGTCATGGTAATTAATCTAGTTACTATTTGATTTAATAATGAATTTCGATAAAAATCTGATGTATTTTCCGCAATTGCATTGAAAAACATTTTTACAAACATTTAAAAGAAATTATAGGGATAATATGATCTCATTCTCAGAAAAAAACTGATGTGTCAGTAATTAAATGTGCGTTTTCTTTAGGTTCTTTTTCAATGCAATTCAAAGTCAAGGACACATAAAACGTTAGCATATATATTGCTTTTTTTTGCTCACTTGAATTGTACCAATCGCAATCGATTATTCTTTTTTTCATATATACTATCTGCAGCTATGTATTGCTAAAGTTTGATTGTCTGAATTTGATTTGAATAGTTAACTGAATAACGTTTGACCGCTGTTATCGACCACTTTGCCTAGGAAACGAAAAAGCTCGCTGAATATTAATAGTTCAACTTGAGTGGACGTGCAAAGAGTTGCGAGCGTCAAATAACGACTTAGCAATCGCGTCGATAGYACCAATATCGCGTGCGGTAATATCGTTAAGAGATTAGAACACAAACAGTGTTATTAAAAAGAACTTTCCAGAACCTAAACGCAGCCGATATCAGCATGTATCCTATGTTTATCGTTTTTTGTGTTTTTCCCCTTTTGAGTTCGTAYAAAGTCAATGTTTTGTTTATGCAGTTTTATAGTGCATTGACAGCACATTAGGTGGGAACCTAACTCTCCTTAAACGAAAACTCACCAGCTGCAAAACGATCATCTTAGCTTAAAATGTTTGAAAAATGCTTAATTATGGCTTTTACACTTTTCCCGAGGCAMTRTTCTCAATGCTTTGMTGYATTTTCCCTTGGGATTTCATGAAAAATTGCAAAAAGTAATCTTCATGTCATCTTGTTCATAAAAATCATTTGACAGATTGTGTATATAAATTTCTTTCTTCCTTTCGAGTAATTTTGTTCTGGTCTTKACTATACGATAGCATTTAAGTTAACTTTGCATAACGACTACGGAAAGTAGAGTGTTTCCCGTTGACCTGTTAACGTTACATTTGTGATTTCGCTAACGCGTTCAAAAGGGTTTTGAGATAAATATSTCATCAACGGTTATTTGCGGTTGATGTCAGCATAAACACTATACGTRTTTCATTCTAATGTTATCGCGGGTTGATTGTCTAGTAACACATATTAAAGTCGACTAATTTTGTGTTCGTTTTGAATATTTCATGTCAATTTATTTATCTTTTGCGAAGTAAGACATTAAGTCGTTATTTTTTTTATTATTTTATTTTTTTTTTTGCTTGTTTGTTTCCATTTATTCATTTTATTTTTTATTTCATTTTTTTTATTAATCGTGAGTTTTTCGTAGTTTATGAGTCTGCATTACTATACCGTMAAAACAATTCAACTTTTTTTCTCTGTTATTTTCTATTCGGTATCACATTACCACATATTTATTAGATCTTGTTTCCTTGCACAATCTATTTTTGTATATTTTCTGTTTTTCTGTTTTATTATTTATAGCTTAATACCATGAGAGCGTCTACTGGTCCTTGCTAACATGGTCTCAAGGGYCATTTCGATCCTTCTGGTTCGCTACTAGTCAAATCATAAATTCACGAAACCCTTAGGCAAATCCTTGAAAACAGATGTTTTAAACATCGCAAAAATATTCTCAAATAATAACAGAATAGAATTGCAAATAAAGGGCAAGTTCTCTTCATATATCTTTAATGTATAACTATATGGATTCTATTAACGATGGACCGTTTTCAGGTTATGCACACTGCTTAGCACTTCTGACGTAACCATTATGTGTAATGCGTTATGTACACGTGTTGTGTATATTTATAGATTATAGCTCCTACAGGTAAAACTATATAAATATATWTTTATTATATGATTGCAATATTATTGTTATGTAGAGTAAACAGTCAAGGTTATCAGCTCGCGAAATTCTGTGCATGTTCAGTGTGAATCCRATAAGGTTTTTTTACCTGCAAAAAGCTTTAGCAAAGACAGTTTTGAGGATTATCAACCTTGAAAATTGGCAAGCCCTCAGCTTGTAAAGTCTATTTTCTTTTGGCACGATTTCAAAAAATTACAAAAAAACAAATTATAATGTCTGTTACTTTAATTAATCAACTTTGTGGGGGTAGAACTGATCAGCAATATAATTTTTATTTGACAAACTATGATTTTTTCCTATATTTCATTGTGTAACTTATTAATTTCGTTGTCGATTTCGTTGTTTTCGTTGCTWATTTCGTGATGTATCTAGTTTCAGAGTATTATTAACTTGTGCCTATTAGGTGTGGCACGGAAGGAGAAAATCAAGGATCGMTTGTGGTCAACGATATTGAAAATAGATCGGCCATTGGCTTTGCCTTAATTTGAATAAGCTCAATTCACTGGCTTGGTAATATATTTCATTAACACTTGTACTTGATGCGCATGAGTTTAGCTGACAGGCAAATAAAACCCTTAAAATCCAAACATTTGGCTGATTTCTGAATAATTGAATACTTTTTCTGTGTTTCTGTGAAAATAACTTATTTTGATGCCACTTTACTTAAAAAATGATTTTAAACTTCTAGCGGTGTGACGCCTGTTTTCTACCAAAGCCTCCTTTACAACAACTTTCCCTTTTAAGATTCACGTATAGAAAACTCTTCTTTTGTAGTTTCCTTCTAAAAGGTTAAAAAAGCGTTATCTAAAAAATGATATTTCACTTGCGATTTAAGACTTGAAATCGCGAAAAGCGATCTCTTCAAATCATGGATTTGGACGTTGATAATTAGAATCGAATTTGAATACATTTACGTTGTGCTCAGTTGACTCGTAGCACCTGCCTCTGTATAATTGGTGGACCAGTCGCTCGGGACAACCATCTTAACAGACTAATGACATGAAATAACTTAGTTTTTGGACCGAACTCAACCACAATTTGAAACTACATTGTAGAATAGTAGACTCTTGACCGAATTCACRAATTGCTGGCGGATTGGTGGAGATTTCTTTTGTTTAACGTGTAAATTAAAGTTTTTTAGTGAAATTCGACTTTTTCTGTGGCTATCACCGACCGTAAGAAGCTGAATTATTGATTGTGGCGGAGTAGAGAGGTTTTCACTGCTCAGAGAAATGGAGTTCATAAACAATGGACCAAAAGAGGATGATTTTTAGCTGACTTCACCGKCAAACTACTCATCTATAGATCTTAGATGTCTTCTGATTGCAACAACAACGATGTATCAGTTTTCGATGGATGTGAAAATTCTCAAGAAATCGGCGTTAATTCATTAGAACTGGCTGACTTCTTAACTATTTTGAGTAATGTTTTTGCGCTTAAATCCTGCTCTTAAAGCGAGATCACCGCAAGATGAGCGCAGACACATTGACAGAGGTACCGCGTCTTTAAACCCAATCCATAATGTACCCGGACGGCCAGCCAAGCTGCCATCTCTATACCCGAACGTCTCACTCGACTCGTACAGTAGGCGCCACGAAGAGGGACGTCTAAGGTCTAATAACGACGCAGCTAATCGTGAACAAAGTTTAGCTGCTGGGATATCTGGATTTGAAGACACAAAAGACGACAAATGTCAGTCTTCACACCTTGCATCAAGGGCTGCAGTAGTGAGAGTAAAGGGGACACCAATAGTWCTGGGCGCTACGACTGTTTTACGTGCTAGCGCGGCAGCTCTCGGTGTTGGATCAGACGTCGCATCGACTGCARTACAGACAGCAGAAGAAAGCATCGACAGCGTTGAGTGTGAGGTAAGAAAGTTTTCTGTTCTTTATAAGATTTCGTTTTCTCTTGTGCCATTGTGTAAGTTATAGCGTTCACTTGTGTAATTTGAAATTGTGTATAGCGTTCCCCTATCTCAAGGTGAGTACTACTAACATGAAACAAAAAATGGGCCTAGTGGTATATCAAACTTGTTAAGGTTTGAAAAAATGCTTCAAAACAATCGAAGGGAAAGATATTTTCCTGTTATTATTATCTCCGTATTGTTCTTTTGATTGTGTTATATGGTTAAACCGAGAAGCAGTTATCACTCAACGTACTATATCCTCAAGATTTTTGCAGCTTTTTAAAGTCAATTTCGTCAACACGTAGAAATTTAATTGATCGTTTTTAATATTTGTGAAAGCTAAATCCTTCGCGAGTCTACCTGCCGACTTTCTGACAAGATTTGTTTTCGATTTGGTGGGACTTATCAGCCGTCGAGTCCTCAAGACCTTTCCGTTGCTTTGTTCGTGGTCAAGGAAAACACATGCGATGTRACGATCAATCAGTCTTAGTCGTTCTTGTATTAGAGATGGCTTCATTCTGTTTCTACGATACAATCTTGATTTTATGAACATTTAAATGCCAATATGACGATTTGCATGAAATTTTAATTTCAATGTCAGAACAGGTAAAGATTAGGAAAAAATGGTTTCGATTTGCTGGATTGTCTTTCATTTGATCCTAAGTCGTCGTAAATGTTCAAAGTGAACATTTTAAAGTTGACCTTCGAATCATGTAATGATGATAAATGATGGCATATGAGTGAACAATTTTTGAAAGACTTGAATGATTTCCTTTTTGTCTAGTATTGCGGCACATATATAAGATACATGACACATATATATAGATGCTTTTACTGCACTATATTCGGTTATCAGAACGTTCGTCATTTTCTCATCGTTAAGAACTCTCGATTATAATGTGACCCTAGTGGTTAAAGGTGCTGTTTAATTTTATTATTGTGAAGAGGAATTTGCTTATTCTTATTTATTATTTCTTAAAGACAACTGTCAAATAGCGACAATTTTTAAACCGCGCTCTACCACCATCTCATCGATCAAACCCCATTTCGCTAATGACTCCTCTTTTGGTCTTTAAGTTCTGGTTTATTTAATTCTATTCTGTCTTTACTTTAATGTCGGCACGTTTTACGACAGTTTACGTACACTCAATATGAACGCATCTTTTTAGCATAATTTCAAAGTATAAATATTTCAGCTTTTAATCGTTGCTTAGGTCGTGTTTTCAATTGTTGTAGCCTTAAGAACTATACAATTGAAGTACTCGAATCAGTCTTCAAGGCGACATTATCGACAATTTGTAGGAATATTAACAAGCATTAAAAACCAGACTTTTACAGTCTGGTGTGATAAACAATCAAATATTCCTTCCATTTCCATACCCGTTAAGTTAATTTGAATAAACTTTAGGATGAGATTGTATTAGAACAAGTTTTTATTGTTCTTTACACCTGTGGTTTGCCTTCTTGTACTTGGTTGTCATCGCCGTTAAAACGCAAAACACCGAGAGCCACATAAACTGTGGGACAACAGACCAAATAGCCTATCAAATATTTAGTTTATGAAGTACTTGTGGAACCATATAATGTTAGTATTAGTACTAAAAGCTTAATTTAAAATGATTTCAAATAATAACAGCAAAGTATAATATTGAGTGATAGGAAGCTACAATGACTGCTTCTAATTTGTGAAATGGGTATTTTGAAATGAAAAAAAATACAAAAGTCTGGCTTTGTGGTTTTTAAGAACAAGCGGCATTTTATTAATAAGTGTAGAATGTTATTCACAGATTATTTCGATAAAAACGGGAAAAAAGAGAATTATATGAAACTTTAGGAAACTGTTGATCAATTAGACTAAAACTGAGTCAAATATTGTGAATACAAAGAGAAACGTAATAATTGATGACTAAGAACAAACAGAAAACATACGCTTCAAAAAGAGATGTATTTTTTTAATTAAAAAAAATCAAAAAAGGGTGATTAAGGTGCATCAGATTAAACTCAAATCACGCGAAAGTATCCTTATTTCGCTSAACTTTTACCATCTGCGATGCAATCTTGATACGTTAAAAGATTCAAGACCAATGACATTCATTTTCGTTTAATTTCAATGTTGATGTGGTTGTATCTCATGCCGTTTCGATCACAGCGTACGATACGGCACGCGCCTATTACGTCAGCGTAAATGCCCGCGGAAAAACAATATTCAAGGATAAGAGATACYGATCTTCATCTTAAACACGTTGGCTACAACTCTTTAGCTAAATTTCGCTACTTTTCAAGTCTAAAAATGTATTTAGTAATATGATCAATTCACTTTTTGTTACATTATTAACGGTAATGCCGTCCATGTGAGGCCTTACTGTGCTGATTTGGTTGAACCATGTGGGACATTTCCCAGTAATCTTGCGTGCGCATCAGATCTAACTCCTTAAAGTCATATGAGATTATAAGCGAATATAAAGAACATCTGTATAGCTGCAAAGTTGTTTATGTTTTACAAGTTTTTTTTATTTTACTCCTTTACTGTAAATACTTAAAAACATTAATATCAGAGGTATATACTCTTTTTTATTGTAAAATCTTTAAATCATAATTTATGCGCTTGCACGTTTCAATACATGATTTTGGAGTAAAGCGATTTTTTCCTTGAAAATCATTCTTCGTTGTTTATCAGTTACACGAGTCTTGTTAGACCATACCCGTGAAAGTGCTATTTTACCTTGAGACTTTCATTAAACTGTGTTTTCAAGCTTACTTTGAAAGCCTTGTTATCAAGTTAGTGCTGAAATCTCGTTTTATAGTAAACACGACGTGAAATATTTGACAGAGACATCACTCCTGAGATCAATGCGAATACAAAGTATTCAACATTAAGTTTGATAAGAACAACGAAATGAGATTTTTTTTCTACCATTTGTTTACTTTGTACGATTTTTATTTTATTGCAGAAATCTGTTTGTTACTTTATTATTGCGTTTGCTTATTTGTTTGTTGGTTTTAGATTGGTTTTTGGTTCGCTTGTTCTGTTGATTCTTGTGATAAATTGATGGGTTGGTTGATTGGTAAGTTGATTGGTAAGTTGATTGGTCGTTTGGTTGATTTATTAAGTTCTTTGGTTGATTGATTGGTAGATGAGTAGTTGATGGGTTGGTTGGCTGTTGGATACTGAGTTGACTGAGTGATGTCTAGAATGGTTGTTTGATTTGTTAGCTGATTGATTGATTGGTTTGTTAGACGTTTTGATTCTTTAACTGTTGGGTGGCCTGATTAATGGTTGGTTGGCCTGATGGATGGGTTGGTGGCCTGATGGATGGGTTGGTTGGCCTGATGGATGGGTTGGTTGGCCTGATGGATGGGTTGGTTGGCCTGATGGATGGGTTGGGTGGCCTGTTGGATGGGTTGGGTGGCTGGTTTATTGATAATTGGTTTGTTCATTGATTTTTTTGTTTTGTTTTTGTTTGCCTAATTTAAATGGTTGTTGTTTGGTTGGTTGATTTGTTGGTTGGCTGGTTGATTGTTTAGTTGTTTTCAGTAGTTGGTTGGCTGGTTTTAGCCTGTTGTTTGTTTGGTTTAATGTTTTTATGCAGCTTGTGTCGGCGATATCMAATCCATCATATGCTTCCTACAATAAGCCGGCACTCTTTACTTTATTATCGAGGGCCAGCTTGAAAAAGTGCAAATGAATTGTGCAGATATTCRGACTGCGCAATATTACAACTTTCTTTGTTGATTTCTATTAATGTTATTTCGATGGTTCACGTTATTAAATTGGTCATGTAAAAGAAAAAAGATATAGAACAATAGGTATAATCATAAAGGGTAGCCAAAACAACAGCTAGGCATATGAAGGTCAAAAGATCTATTAAGATATTATTTTTGACCGACAACGATGGCTGGATTATAWATACTGCAACCACATTTCTTTGCGTCTGTATGAAACAATCATTTTCAAAACGAGATTTCAAAAATATACTTTGAAAGGCGTTTCTAAAGATATCCTTACACGGTTAGTAGTTTCTAATGAATATTGGTCGATCAAATCACCCAAAATCCAGAGTTTGACGGGTCAAATATGCAATATGTAAGGATGTTGGTCTTTGACTGGTCTATATGTCCAGATCTGTATGGATTGAATATATGTATTGATAAAGATGACACTTCTCGTAGCAGGTTCATTGCAATGTACTAAGTATAATTCATGCGCCACTCTTTACGCGATGTTGAGTTTTTTCAGAAGCGCACTTACATTAAAAGCAAATGACAAGGTCATATATGACCAAAACACTGCAAATATACAACAGAATGAAGGCTTATAATCGTGAAATGTTTTTTTTTAATAATAAACCTTAGAAGTCTCAATCCAATCGTGTGTTGATAACATATTTCACTTTTAAATATTTAGGTTTTTGTTGTATTATTTTAATGTATTCTTTTTGCATAGTGCGCTCCTTATCGTTGAATTGTAAGCCATTGTTAATGTTATTTAATTCCTAGAATGACCTCCGTGTGTTCTAATAAAAAAACTCATCATTTTTTTCGTTGGATATCTGGTAGTTGCACCTGCTGTATTCAATAAGCTTCGTGTATTTTTTGCCATAATTTTTTTGTCGCGTCAATGTGATTTTGTCTCTTTTTGTGTCATAATCCTTAAAGATAGTTCTTTTTTCATCTTTCGCATTTCATATGAAAATCTTTTTGTTCATGTAAAAGTTCAAGAAACACAAAGAAAACTCATGAATATTGAYACCGGAATAAATGTGCCTTTATGCAGATATTCGGGATCCCTGTGTGCCGAAGACAGGAATTCCAGTTTGAGAACTCCCASAATTCCAATCGGTCAGAGTATGCCTTTTGCCATTAGTATTAATCATGGATTTCAGTTAATTGAAGTAGGTTTCTACAATAGCAATATCTATTTCATCTTGTGACTTTTGCTATCATGACTTGGTCTTAATGAAA